TAATGATTTCTCAGCTGCTTTAAAGATTTAGAGGATAATTTAAAATGACTTCTATCCAAAGGTGAAGTTGTATGCAGAGATTTTTAAAATATCTCTACTTCTCACAGCTTTGTTTTACTTCTTTACCTCACTCACTGGTGCTTTAACAATCAGACTCTACTTATTGCTTTTCTTTTCCTAGTCAATGATTTTCCCTGATAGTGTAGAATCAACAGTTATTTTAGAACGTTCCTCTTAACCTCCAAGAATTACCTATGATAAAAATAAAAACAATTATAATGATGTCTTGAAATGTACACAACATTCCCACAAACCAGACATCATCCTAACAGATAGATATCACAGTCTATATAGTTTTAATTCATTATGTTCAAATATAAAGTTTGTCACTTTGAGGTACATATTTTAATTCAGATATCATCTTTCAAATCTTTTCTTACCTAAATAAAAACCCTCAGATATAAAAAATATTTGCATTGGAATGTAAGCACTATGAGGACAGAGATTTGCATTTGACTCACTGCTACAAACTCAGCACCTAGAAAAATGCTTGCCACACAAGAGAAATTTAAATATGCATCAAAGTTAAACCCACTCTAGCCTTTTAGTAAAATGCTAGACTTTGAATGTCAATGAAATATTTCACAAACTGGGGAACCAATTTGTATAGCTTTGTCTTGAAATATCAAACAAACACAACCATTTACTTGTTTTCAGACATTCATATACTCTTTTTCTAGTTTAAAAGTGTTTTAGTGGGCTGAGGATTTAGCTCAGTGGTTCATGTTTGCCTGGTAAGCATGAGGTTCTGAATGCAATTCCCAGTACAAAAAAAAAATGTTTTGGGAGGCGAACTAGAAACCCAAATCCACCCCCCCCTCATTCCCACCATAAGACATTAGGAGCCAATCCCAATACACACATCTGTGAGTCAGCAGAAGCCACACCAGCTGGTGGAGAACCAGGAAGCCATGTCCCACCCCAAGCAACCAGCTGATTCGGAAGAACACAGGCTGAGATGATAGCAACTGAAGTAAAGGAACAACTTAATGCTTGTATTGGTTGATTGACTTTGCAGGCCTAAAGCCAGTAGTCTAAGCAACTATTTAGAGGATAACAAGAGGCATTATGGCAACCATTGTTAATTTCCTATTATCCTGTTTTGAAGTCCTGTATCATTTTCATTGTTTTGTTTTGCTTGATTTTATTATGTTTGATCATATGGACATCTATTTTGAAGATAACAAGATATATCATGGTAGCCATTGCTGATTTCCTGCTATCTTGTTTTGAAATTCTGCATCACTTTCATTGTTTTGTTTTGATTGGTTTTGTCTGTTTTGTTGTTTGATTTTATTATTTTGATGGCATGGGTGGCTATCATGAAAATAACAAAAGGCATTATGATAGCCATTGTTTATTTCCTTTTATCTTGTTTTGGAGTCCTGTATTGCTTTCATCATTCTGTTTTAATTGGTTTTATTTTGTTGTCCTTTGTTTGGTTTTATTCTCTTTAAAATAAAACAAGTGTTTTAATTCCACTTTCCAACTTCTACTAAAAGCCTGCTTTCAAAATAAATCAGCACATGAAAATAAAACTTCTTTTAAGTAGCCTACAATGCTACATTAAAATACAATTCAAGATGGCAAATAAGTACTATATATAAGATGGTGCTCAACCACCATCATATTATTAGAAAATTATAACAAAAACAATGAGATATCATTACACATGTGCTACTTGCTATGCACCCAAATGAGTTAAAAATTATGTCCACATGAAAAGCCACACATAGATGTCTGTAATAACAGCTCTGTCCCCACAACTGCCAGAACTTAGAAGTTAGTGACATTTCTTTCAGCCAGTAAATAGACTGGTACATCCAGACAATGAACTATTCAGTGATAAAAAGAATTGGGCCTCCACATCATGAAAATATATAAAAGAATCTTAAGTGCATATTAATAAGTGAAAGAAGCCAATCTAAAAATGCTACATACTGAATAACTCTAACTATGTAACATTCCAAAAGAAGGTAAAACTATGGAGACAATAAAAGATCATGGTTGCCAGGGGTTAGTGTGGTGGGAGAGGCGAATCAGTGGAGCAAAGAAGATTTTTAGGGCACAGGAATTATTCTATGTGATACTACAGTGGTGAATATAGGTCACACATTTGTCTAAACCCATAGCATGTGTACCACAGGGAAACTCTACTGTAAACTAGGGGCTGGGAGCACATGGGAACCCGCTATATGCTATCCTTAATGGTTCTATGGACATAGAACTGCTCAGAAAAAAATAGTCTATTGTAAAACATGTTGTTTGAAATCGATGAGAACAGGAGGAGGAGAGAGACTGAGACTGCTTTGGCTCACAATTTTGGAGTTTCCGGTTCATAATCTATTGGCCCCATTATTTCAGCCTCTAGTGGGGATGCTGGATGGCAATGGCATGGAGCACATCAATCTCCTCATGTTCAAGAAACAATGAGAAAGAAAAGTCTGGGGTTCCACAAGTCCCTTGGAAGGCATGTACCCCACGACCTAGGGAGCGTCCACTAGATTCCACCTCCTCAAGGTTCCACATCTGCAAGGGTCCAACTCCACCCACCCACACGACCCCAGGGACCAACTCTTCAATATTCAGACCTTTAGAGAACGTTTTTCCAACCTGAAGTATACAGTGAGATTTTATATCTATAAATACAAATATTTATACATACAAATACACATCAATATGTTTACATATCAACCACAGAAAAACCTTAAGATAACTATAGGCTCACTTCCATACAAAGTATAACAAGTTACTTTTAATTCAAGTAGGAGATAAAATACTGGGTTTTTGTAGAACATCTATTCCTGGTAACATGGTAACCTTGTGGAATATGATGGTAATCCTAGGTGCATACTTATCAAGAGAAAATGTGGAGGTAACCATAGAAACTATCAGGGCTGCTTAGTGTCTCCATGATTTGAGCAGTTATACCTGTTGGGCCACTTATAAATCTAAATTTACAGGTTTCCTTTAACAGGGAAAGAATGAAAGTGTCTATATTTGCCATTAAAAATGGTTAACACACTCATGATAATGCAAACTATAGTGGTTAGAGTACATACACATACAACACACACCACAGCCACCACCAATGTGAGGTAAAACTGGGTGGCTTCATTCTGATTCTCTTAGGACTAGTTTTCCCTATCCAGGATGCTTCTAACATTCATTTTCATCTGTACCAAGAGTAAATATCAAGTTGCTGTAATTTGGTTAGGTTAAAGGAAAAGGATTTTGTTTTGTTTTGCTTTGCTGGGCTAAGTAAAAGAGCTCAAAGCTCTGAGATATTTACTCTAAGCAATCTAGGAACATCATAACCCCTTTTGCCAGGATGTGAAGCAGTTTTCAACTGGAGAATATAATCTAGTTCACACAAAAGCACTGTACCTTCGGTTCCTCTTAAATCATACGTACTGCAATGGTTGTAACACAAGGAAATCCTTTCCTGGATTCATGCCGGAGCCTCAACTAACAATATTCACATTTAATACGCCCACCTTCTCTTATCACACTCGATGTGTAACAGACAACAAAATAAGCCTTCACAGGTGCCTGAATCGCACTTGTAGCAATAGCCTTGGTCAACAAATTTATTATGCTTCGGAGCTGTGCAAAGTCTCACATAATAGCCACGGTTTGTGTTTTAGAACACCAACTTTCTCTTTACCTGCTCTCTCTCAATAGTAGTGGCAGAACTGTCTATATATCAAGGACTATTGGGGAAATAAATAGCCATGTGAAGGTCTGTTGATACAACTATATTTTCAGAAATTCTAAATTTAGAAAGCTGAAAGATTACAGAGTAGTTAAACTTATGCTTATAAACATATGGACAGATGCGTGCTCCAGCAGTATAAAAATGCAGACGGTCTTATGTGACACAAACAAAACCTCACAAACGAAAGGAACCGTGAAAACATTAGTAATCCTTTGGGACAAGATTTTAAAATATCACTCATTATTCCAAATTCTCATTTGGTGTTAATAACTTTCATAATACTGCTTTTTCAAAAAAGCTTCATTTCATATTTTGGGTTGATGTTAGCAATCTTTCCACCATTTAGAGCTGGGTGACACCAAATGACAGACAAAGGGGTTATCAAGTAGTCTTTCTCCAAGCTTCAAAGAAAAAGCCAAACACAAACAGCACCTGCTATGCATCAGTCCCCATCCCCATGGCACCCCCCCATCCTTTACAGGTATGGAGCAGCCAAAATGAGGTAGCTATGACACGTCTTTCCCATTCTATTTCTAGTGCAAGCCATGATAAAATGGGTGGACATGCTGGACTCCTGGGGTCCGCCTCAAGCTTCAAATGAAGAACCTGGCTTTGACTTGACCAACGTCCTCCTACAGTCCTTGAGCCCCTGCTATGCAACTTGCCATTAAGATTTTCCAGCTTAATACTAATAATCAGAATTTGTCCACATTAGTGGAAATATATAGTAGATACATATAAGATCACAAATATACAGAGAGGTCAACATGTTGTCCTTGGCCCCTGGGTCCCCATCCACATGGACACACAGGCACACACCCTTCAAGTTCAAATCCCAGCAAGGTACCCTGAGCTTCCACTCGGGAAAGGGAGGGGGCAGGAGCCGCAGAGGTTAAACCAGACACCAGCCAAAGCAAATATCACTTCCAGAACAGGGGAAACTTTGGGTATGGGCGGCTGCCTCCCCCAGAAATGACCGGGGGAAGGCAAGGAATGTCAGACTGTCTCAGAGAAGGAAGACGGGAGCGCACCCAGCACTGGGCGAGGAGCTGAGCTGCAGAGGAGGCTGGTGTCCCTGGGGGACAAGGGCGTCGCCGCCATCCCTGGCTGCAGAGCCCCCTCTCTGAGACTTGGTCGTGTCCCTGGGACAGCCCAGTCGCCCCAATATTTCCACACACACTGTCCCCACAGGTCCACCGAGACAAGGGGACCAGGAACTTACCTGGTGTAGTGTCTCAGCCGGCAGCTGCGACGCCCGAAACAGATCAGCCACGGGGCCAGCGGCCGCAGTGGCAGAGCCCGAGGCGACCCTGGCGGCTTCAGGGGGCCCGGGACCCGGGGCCCCGCTCACCGCTCCCGCGCAGCGCGCAAAGAGCTCGGAGTAGCACTGCTGCTCACCCTCGCTCAGCAGCAGCGGCGGCCCAGAGCCGCAGCATCCGCCCGCTGGTGTCTCCATGGGACCTTCAAGGGGGCCTTGCGGAGCACGGTCCCGATTGAGGTGCTGCCTATACTCCACCACTGCCACCGCCACCGCCTCGGCCTTGGCCGCCGCCGCCCCCACACGCCCAGCAGCTGCAGCACAGCCGCTTCCTCCCAGCGCGCGCCGGCCCCACCCCCGGGCTTGAATGTTGTGCCTCCGCACGGCACATGGAAACAGGCTCGACGCCGACCAATCACGGGGAAGGACCCCAGCAAGGCCCCGCCTGCAACGCCCGCCCCACCCCTTGCCAGGTAACTCCGCTCTGGACTGCCTGCTGCTGGTCACCTGCTTGGCTGGCGAAGCTGGGTAAAGAATGGTGGTCCCTGCAATGTGCCAACCCCACCGTCATCCAAGGAGCATCTTTGGCTCTCCGCCCTAGCTGGGAAGGAAGCATTTAGCACACTTAGAGAATAGCGCTTTTCAGGGGATGGGAAAGCTGTATTTTCTCCCTAGGAGCCTGGATCCGGTGTGGTGGCCCACATCACACCGTGCCCTTCCCTGAAAGGGGACAAAGCGTGGGGAAGTTAGGTTTCCCTTCTTCCACAACACTCCTGGTTATGTCTTGAAAAGCTGGGGGACAAAGAATGTCCAAACAACTGCAGTCCCAGTGCCTCTCCAGAGCATTCCACATGGTCATGGGGGTCACCTACTTCCTCAGGCACACCTCCACTGTGCACTTGAGCCTTAATAAGTAACACTGGGTTACTCTTGAGCACTAGAGTAATAGGAGTTTAAAAAGACCTTTTTGTAGCTCCTTTGGCCCAACCCCTGGTGTTAACGGATAAGGAAATTGTTGCAGGTTCACTTTATTCACTCGACAATCATTGACTATCTACTAATTAGCAGATTTATATGCTAAGGCTGGAAAACACAGACCTCAGTAAGAGAAAGTGCTCACTCTCTGTCTTAGTTACTTTTTTCGTTGCTGAGAAAAAATACTCAACATCCTAAGTTAAAGGAGGAAAGGTTTATTTAGCTCACAGTTTGTGGAAGTTTCAGCCCATAATCAGCTGGCTCCAAGGAAGGAAATTATGGCAGAGGGGCTTTACAGAGGAGAAACAGTCCATGACAGAGCAAGCAGGAAGCCTGGAAGCAGCAAGCAGTGAGCCTGCCTTCCCTCTCTCCTTTTGTATTCCATCCATGCTGTAAGCCTATTTATTGGTGCCACCCACACCCAGGGTGGGGCTTCCATTATCAACCCCCGAGCCATGCTAACTCCGATCAGTGGACTAATTTAGTACCACACGGCTTTAATCCCAGCACCACAGACTCTAAATCCACCAGTTCCAAAAAGTCTGACCTATGAGTACATGAGGCTTTGGGAGGTCATCTAGATACAAGCCATAAGACCTTCTAAAAGCACTTCTTTTTGCAGGAAAACAAGCTATTTTTTAAAATAAACTTTTCCAAGTTCACACCAAACTCAACTCTGCCACTCATATGTTGACCTCCCCTGGCATGTGCTTGCTGAGACCCAATGTCCCACACATGCTCCCACCACTGTATTAGCCACTTTTAACACAAAGTCTAAAGAAGCCACTGGAAGAAAAATGTTTGTCCCACCACAGCACTGGAAGTTCCAGTGCCAGGCCTGCATATTTGCATTTTTTTTCAAAATTTCTCTTTTTAAATGCTATTGTTTCTGGGAAAAGTTGCACAAATATATGCATTAAGCATCCCTGGGAAACACTACTCAAAGGGGGAAAAATCAGTCCAATGTTAAACACTAATAAAAACACATTCTAAAATTTGCTTTAGTAAAGATACAAAATATTTTGCCACAAATAGTTGTATTTTAACTAAAAACAGGAAACAAAAGATATCTTAAGAAATACCATGAATGATCACAAGTAAACTTTGGTATAATCATTAACTAAAATAAGCACCAAGGACAGAAAATGGGAGAAAGGCATCCGAAAAATCATGAGATGGTAAAGACAAAAAGGGAAAAAAGGAAGCTGTGTGGTGATTCACACCTGTAATTCCAGCACTTGGGAGGCTGAGGCAGGAGGATCAATGTGAGCTCGAGATCAGCCTGGGGTACAAAGTGAGCTCAAGTCCAGCCTGAACTGCAGAGTGAGACCCTGTCTCAAAAAGACAAAAAACACTAAAAAAAGGAAAGGGAGAAAGATAATATAAAGGAAAAAATTAGACATGGTGGTACACACCTATAATCCTAGCATTGGGGAGGCAGAGGCAGGATAATCACTACAAATTTGAGGCCAACCTGGGCTAAAGAGTGAGTTCAAAGTCAGCAAACATAAAGACAGATGGTCAGACAGAAAAAAATGGAGAAAAACAAACAGAGGGATAGAAACACAGATGGACAGATGCCAGGCACATGCCTATAATCCCAGCACTCAGGAGGCTGAGGCAGGAGGATCACCATGAGTTTGAGGCCTGCCTGGGCTACAAAGTGAGCTCAAGGCCAGCTTGCAATGCATAGTGAGACCCTGTCTCAAAGAAGCAAACCAAAAAAAAAAGATAGATGAGTAGAAGGAAAAATAACAGAAAGAAAAAATAGACAGTAGATGAGCTGAAAGATGGACACACACAAAGATAGAAGAAAAGATGAACAGATGGATGGGATGACAGAAGGAAACAGACAGACAGAAAGAGAGACATTCAGAAATGCAGATGAACAAATATAGCACCCCACACAGATAGACAGAAAGCCAGACAAACAGATGGTAAGAAGGACAGATGAACAGATGGACAGAAAAATGCACAGAATGGTAGATGGAAAGATGGACAGAACAAAGCACAGAAAGATGGGAAGATGGGCACAATGAACAACCAAAAAAAGACAAATAGAAAGGCAAACTGACAAAGAGAGAAAGGACAGACAGACATAGAAAAACAAGCGGACAGGATAAACAGACAAACAGAAAGCTGACAGAAAGACAGATCAACAGACTTACAGACAGGCAGATAGACAGAAGAAAAGATAGACAATGGACAGTCAGGAAGACAGATAAAAACTGAGAAAGGCAATAGAAAAAGGAACTAAAAACCTGCAGACACTGAACCAAAAGACATACAGACAGAAAGCTAGGGGAAACAGAAAAAGACAGATGTTCAGATAGAGAGAAAGATGAACAGACAGAGGCAGAAATTAGGACAGAAAGATAGACAAGTAGAAAGACAGAAAGATGGACAGGCAGACAAAGAAAGGATAGCAGTAAGACAGAAAGGTTGACACACAGACGGAAGGAGTCAGACAGAAAGGTAGAGAGAAAGAAGATGAATAGAAAGACAAAAAGATGCATAAAGGACAGATGAACAGAATGTTGGGCAGAAAGTGGGACAGACAAAAAGACAAATTGATGGACAGAAAGAGAAAAAATATGCACAGATAGACTGTATGACAGAAAGGACAGGAAGATAAACAGAAAGATGGACAGAGAGCCAAAGAGACAAACAGAAAGACACAAAAACAGACAAAGACACACAGAGAGAAAGACAAAAAGAAAGAAAACTGGCAGATGAGAGATGGACAGACAACAGGAGAAAAATACAGACAGCAAGATGAACAACAGAAAGATGGACTGAGAGACAAACAGATGGTCCAACGGACAAAAAGAAGAAAATGGACAGACCAAGAAACAGACACACTAACAGATTGACAGAAAGACAGACATAAACATGAAAAGAGAGACAGGCAGACAGATGAACTGAATGATGGCCAACAGAAAAAAAAGATGGACAGAGAAACAGAAAGACAGAAGAGTAGATGAACAAACATACAGAGAGACAGACAAAGACAGAAAAACAAACTAAAAGACAGACAGATGGGCAGAAATAAAGATGATCACACCAAGAGATGGACAGACAGATGGACAGAAGGGCAGAAAGATGGACCAAAAATACAGATGGGCAGAAACATAGGAAAAAAGCAAAACAAAAAAGACTCTCAGGCAAAACAGGACAGGCGTCAAACAGATCGAAAATGGACAAGAATACAGAAAGACAGGTAGGATGCATAGACTAAAACATAGAGACAAGTGGATACGTACAAAGATGGGCAGAAATGAAGGAGGCACAGATGGACTAAATAACAGCAGAAAAGATGGACAGACAGAAAAACACAATGATGGACTGAGAAACAAACCAATGGACAAAAAGACAGACAGACCAAAAAAAAAAAAAAACTGATAGAAAGAAAGACAGACTGAAAGACAATAAAAGACATAAACATGATGACAGATGAACAGAAAGCAGAATGGAGTAAAAGACAGAAAAAGAAACAAAGAGACAAATGGACAGAAAGAAAAAAACGACAGACATACAGATGGATAGAAAGACAGGCAAACAGAAAATCATATAGAAAGAAAGACACATGGACAGAAAGACATACAGACAGGCAGGTGGCCACAAACAGCAAGACAGACAGACAGTGACAGACAAAGTGAGAAAAAAAGACAGGCAGACCTGTAGACAAATGGACAAATGGATATAAAGATGGACAGACACTTGAATAGGAAAAAGAAGTACAGAAAGAAAGGACAGATGGACATACTGATAGAAAATAAGACTAAAAATCAAACAAGAAGACCTACAGACAGAGCAAAAGACATACAGAGAAAAGAGAGACAAAGACAGAAAGGCAGAAAAACAGAAAGGACAGATGGACAGAGAGATGGAAAAAGACAGAATGATGGATAGACAGATGACTAGGAAGACAAACAGAAAACAGAAAGAGTAACAAAAGTTCCAAAAGAAGCCTGAAACACAGATAAACAAGACAGAAGCACAGAGGCAAAGAGACTGCAAGATGGGCAGACAGATGGAAAGAGCAAAACAGAAAGATAGAAAGACAAGACAGGAAAACAGACAAAAGAAAGATTAACAGACAAAAAGACAGACAAACATATGGACAGAAGACAGAAGGACAGAAAGACAGACAAAATGGACATAAAGACTGATAAAAGAACGGACAGACAGAAGAAAACACTGATAGACATGGACAGAAAGACAAAAAGATGGACAGTGTGAAAAATGGATGGACAAGCAAATAAACAGATTACAAGAGAGACAGAAAAACTGACAGATTGACAGAAAGATCTTTCTTTTCTTTGGGCAGACAAAAAGACAATGAGAAACACAGACAGAAAGATCATCTGACAGAAAGGTGAACAGACG